TTCTTCTCCCCCCCCCCGCCTAAAATGAGCCTCCTTGGACTTACATGCAGCAAGGGCTCCAAGCTCAACCCAGGTGGACCATTTGGGGGTTGGCCCCCTCTGGCCTTTGGGCTCACCTGCTGAATGTGGACCCCCAGCAACATCCCTGGAAATGATTCCAGACCCGGGGTGGGAGAAGCTTCCTGGGTGCAGAAGGGGTGGGGGAGACACACAAGCCTTCGTGTCCCACCAAAGACCCGGAAGGGTTCCCACTGGACTGACCTTCGCCCTCCTCCTCGGGATCGGAGAGGTCGCCCTCTGCAATCCGCTTCTGCTTGATGTAGTCCTGGAAAAATTCCTCCATCGCCTCCGGGGTGGGCTGCTGGACAGCAGGCGCTGGATCGTGTTCCAAATCCTTCTCCGCTGGGTCCCCCGGGCTGGACCAGGATGCTGCCATCAGGAGGGGGGAAAAAATTATTGGCCAGGCCAGCTGCAGGAGAGAACACACAGTGGGCAGATCTCCGGCCAGCCAAGTGGATGGAAATCGGCTGCATTTTTAGGCGTGGATTTTTTTCCCCCAAAGCCTCCGTTGAGGAAAAGAGGATTCAGTACCCAGAGCTCAAGAGTTACCTCAAGACAGACCTACAGCCCCACAGCAGATCTCTCCAACCAGCTAGGCTGGAATGTTCCCTCAGGAAAGGATACACAGAAGCCCTTTTGGGAGTGAGGAAGCACAGCATAGCCCCAATATAGGCTTTACACTGAAAAATAAAGTAGCAATCGGGGGGGGGTTGGCTGGGTTGTGCCTGCCCACCCCACCCCACCCCATCCCCCAGCCATGTAGACAAAATCAGGAGCCTCGTGGCACAGCGGTTCAACTGCAGTACTGCAGCCGAAACTCTGCTCAACACCAGCATTCAACCCCAGGTAGCTGGCTCAAAGTGGACTCAGCCTTCCCTCCTTCTGAGACGTCAGCAAACTGAGTACTCAGCTCACTGGTGGGCAGGCATGTGTAGCATGCATTGCAAACCACCCAGAGAGTGCTTTAAGCGCTATGGGGCAGCATATAAGCAGCACGCTTTGCTTCCCCAACCCCCCTTTCCCCCCTTTTTGCTTCCCCTCATGGTGATGCTCCAGCACAGCACCTGCCAAAGTTGCTTCCCTTTTTGGTATTTTCTCTCCTTGGTGAGAGTGGGTTGGTGCTTTATGCTTATGGTTTATGTATATCATGCTGCTCAGAGTAGAGCAGGATACGAGGGATCGAGACAGACAGACAGACAGACAGACAGACAGACAGACAGAAAGAAAGAAAAGAAAGAAAGAAAGAAAGAAAGAAAGAAAGAAAGAAAGAAAGAAAGAAAGAAAGAAAGAAAGAAAGAAAAGGTTTCTGATGGTACCAAGCATCATCATCAATGTGTGCATGACACTGAGGAACGAAGAGACTCGGTCACTGTGGCATTGGTCAAGCCTGGCCAGGGTGTCCTGAATCACGTCCTCCACCAAAGGCAGGACATTTGCGTCCGAGTGCCGGAGCATGGCCTCCAGGACCCGCGAGGCGTGGGACTCGTGAGCCTGGTGTCGCAGCTGCAAGGAAATGCCGTTCACCAAGTAGTCCGCATTCTGGTTGATGAGCTCAGGGACGGAAGCATAACCGCAGGCCTGGCAGATGTCCACCACGGTGGCCTTGGCTGTCTGGCTGATGAGGAGCACCCTGTCGCCTGCTTTCTCCAGGACAGGGTAGAGGGCCGAGATCAAAAGCAAACGGAAGTCTCCTTTCAGGGCCTGGGCGAAGCGGCCAATCCCTTCCAGCTGGATGCCGATTTGCCAGATGTGGCTGTTCAGGGAGTGGATCGTGGGCCTCGGGTCCAAGGAAGGAAGGGGCCGGCTGGGTGCCCCCGGCGAAATGGCCAGCAGCCCAGGCGGCTTCCCAAACGGTTCATCTGCAGAGTCTTCGGCCTCCACGCTGGTGACCAAGTGCCAGTTGGCTTGGTCCACGTATTCGTCCAGCACAGAAGCCACAACCCCTCTGAGCTCCTCGGCGCTCGGGCCGCTTTCCCGCTCCTGCAGGACATCCACGTCCAGCCCGGCCGCTCCAGTGACCAGTTCGTTGACCACCATCGCCGCCTGCTTCCGGTACGAGGCAGACTCCCCGTAGAGCTCCATGAAATGGTCCACCAAGAGGTAGAGGTTTCCGTAGTAGCCCAGAGCCCGACAGATCTGCTGGAGAAGGAAGAGAACCCGGTCTTCGGTGAAGAACCGGAAGTTCTTCCTCCGCACGGGGCCCTCCCACAAAGGCTCCAGCGGGGCTCCCGAAGGCTCCCTCAAGGCTCCTCCTGAGCCCCAGCGCCTCTCCTCCACAACCTTCACGTCCTTCACATCCAACTCCAGGACTTGCACGAGGGCCTTGGAGAGGCGCTGGAGGTGGGAGGCGGAGGCGAGGACCACGTTCACGGCGGGGCCCAACAGCTTCACGTAGCCCAGGAGCAGGTTCAGGGTCGAAATCTTGCCCTGGTCATCCTGGGAGTTCATCAAGCGAGGGAGAGCCGTGGCCAGGGAGTGGAGATCCTCCGAGAGGACATCAGCCAGCCGCCGGTTCTCGGCTACCTTCCCTTGGGCTGCGATGCTCCTCAGGACCTCGTGACTCTGAGCCTGGATCTCTGGCCTTTCGTCGTTCATGAGACTCACTAAGGCTTTTAAAAGGTGGCCCGCCGATCCCGCCAAGGACCGGCTACATTTGGACATCAGGAGGCAGACCGTCTCCACGAGCGCCTGCCTCGCCTTCCAGTGAGGGTGGACAGACACAAACGCAACCACCTTCTGAATGAGGATGGAGAGTTTGGCCGCTGTGCTTTGGGCCCACTCAGCACCTCTGTGGATCATGAGTTCTGATATTTTACTCTGCTCCAAGGCCAGCTTCTCCCTCTCTGTAGGGACGCGCGCCAGTTGCTCATCCGCCATGACCAGGCCGACGGCTCGAGAGAAGAGCCCCAGGGCGGAGACCACGACGGCGTGGCCCTGCTTGGCATCTGCTCCGATCACCCGGGAGAGGGTGAGGGAGAGCCCAGGGAGGAAGGAAGCAAAGAGGTCCCCGCACTGCCTCTCCTCATCCTCATCCAGGGGCCGGTGGCCCTCCTGGCAGTCACACTGCAAGATCAGAGACCGCAAGCACCTCAAGGCCAGGAGTTTCAAAGACTGGGCTTTCTCCTGTTCTGCTACGGACAGCAGCAAAGACACGGCAAAGCCAAGCTGGGGGAGGCTGGAGGGCTGGTAGAGAGACAGGAGGATGTCCCCGTAGGCGGAATGCAGCAGAGCCAGGAGGGCCTGAATCACCACCTCTTTCAGTTCTTCCGAGCACGGGGCCAGCTGGGGCGGGCTGGAAGGAGACGCCAAACACAGGCAGAGCTCCGAGAACAGCTCCAGGAGAAGATCGGGCTTCTTCACGCAGGTCGTCGAGAGCACAAGGGTCAAGCACCGCACCACGCTTTCGACCACCCGCTCACGCTTCGGCCCCGGCGTCTTGAGGGCGAACCTCAAAGGGAAGAGGACGTATTCCTGAAGTTCCTGCAGAGCCGCGTCACTGACGGCTTGCAGCTGAGTGTGGAGGCGCTCCACATTCTCCACGGTCTGTGCTTTGGTCAGCTGGACGCACACCGGACGCAAGACCCCAAAGGCCTCTTGCGGGGTGTCAAAAACAGCCATGATCCTGGCCGGCCGCCTCTCTTCTCCAGCTCTCTCAGCCCGTCATCCTCCTGCGCACAAAAGCAGAAAAATGTCCCGTGAGAACAGCCCCAGTTCTGCGGAAGACACAGGCGGCATAGACCTGCTGCCTAATTCTGGGGTTTGTACTGGGCCTTCCAGGCAGTGCTTGAAAGAATAATTTTCTGGAGCACAGTCCCACAATCTCCCAATCGAGGTGAAGGGATTCCAGAAGCCATTCTCTAAACCTGTTGCTTTTCCCGCAATCTACCTTCTCAGCCTGGTCTTAAAACTGCTCCAGAAGCTCTCAACCAGTGAAAGCAACAAGAAAGTATAATTCAGATCAATCCCCTTGTCTTGGAAAATGAATTACAAGCAGTCTGTGAGCACGGGGGCTTTCGTCCCAAAAGCAAAAAGCTTTGCGCACCTTCTCCAAAGCAGCTTCAACCACCAGTGGACGCAGAGAGGACTCAAGCGCTGGGAAGGAGTGCCGTAGCAATCAGCTGGGACGCTGCAGGGAGGCAGAAATTGGCACGAAAGCAACTGAATCGATAAACTGTTGACAGATGCCACCTCGCAGCCAATTGCGAATGCAAAAATATTTCTGACTTTTGCATAGATTGGTCATTATTAAGAGAAAAGACAGCCAAGCGTACTTGTAAACAGCTACCAGGCCAGCTGTAAATTTTTCATTCAGGCTGAGAATGTTCCAGAGATAAAGGACCTTGACATTTAACGGGTCCTTCACTCTTTCTGCTCCCGTTAGCTGTATCTTGCTTTGTTTAATCCGTTCTAGCATCCTCTGGAAATAACCCATAGACACTGTATAAACTACGAAGGTTTTTCTGTTGCCGCTGGGTTTCCAGACCAGGGCTCGATATTCACATGTAGCTGTGAAGCTTCTAGCCACAGCCGGAACACCTTACCACGAGGAAGCTCATATATATATATATTTTTGGTTAACCATCACCAACCTGGATGAAACCATGTTATTCACCCTACGAGCCTCCTACCTTCTTCTCAACGACTTTCAGAATCTACCTGATATTGTCAGCTGCCCAGAGTAGAGTTTGGGCTAGATGGGCCAAATATAAATCGAATAAATAAAAACACTGAAAATAAAAGTCACGCCAGGGACCTCCCCTCCCTTGGCAGCTGCTCTCCTGGGGACTTGAACCCAGGACCTTCCGCATAGGAGGCGCCTGGCTCTCCCCAAGGAGGCCCGGCCAGGGCTACGGGATAGCAGGAGGGGGGGCCCATGTTCCCCCTCCCCCGTTGTTCAGAACTCGAGAAGGTGTTGGGGGGGGAACGGGACTACAACTCCCATAACCCCCAGCCAGCGGGTGTGTGTGTGGGTGTCTGTGTGTGTGTGTCTGTGTGTGTGTAGAGGAACATGGGACCTCCCAGATTGCCCCAGGCTGGGGATGATGGGAGTTGCAACCCAGGAGCACAGAA